AGACTTTTCTCTCGTGAAAGGCAGCCCGTACGCTGTCAGAACTGAGCCGTCTCCTCCTTTCATCCAAAAACCTCCCGTATGATCCAAAACCTCCTTTTCACCCCATCACACTTCTCCTCCTGCTATTCCGTGATGGAGTAACTTTGGCATTTTAGCTATCCGAACCACTGGAATGGATTGTGGACGAGGTACATAAATACGCAAGTGTACGCACATCTGCTTAGGTGTGGAGGAAAAAAATAAAATAATGCTTCAAAATAAAAGTGTCCCAAAAAAACAGGAGTAGGGATAACTTGTACAAAAACATCAACTTCTTTCCCCGGGTTGAGACTAAAACAGGGCCCGGCTCAGACTTGGAAGACAAAGAAAATACAATATATAAGTGGGGGAAAAAATAACAACATGCACATCAAAAACAGAGCCCAGCAAATCCAAGGGAAGTTCAGAGAGGTCTTCACTGGAACTGAAGAAAGAAACAAAATCAAATAAATTGGAAGGGTTCAAACCGCTCAAGCTGCCCCGACAAACCAGGAAACACTGTTTAGAATATATGAGGAGGGTGACGGAGGGCGATGCTTAATGACTCAGAAAGCAGATACCCCGTGTTTACCCCGGCAGACTCCAAAGAAAAGCCCCTCTCTCCCGTTAGAAGGCGGGTGGGGACAGAAAACTGAATTCAAGGCAGCTTAAGTGCTCTCTGGAATCACTCAGCATTCCCCAGCCTTCTGCACACAAACACAAACACACACACACACACACACACACACACACACACACACACACACACACACACACACAGCAGAAATTTGACTGTGACAGTGTATTCATCCATAACAGTAAATTGTTCTTTGGGGAATTTGGCAGGGCTTCGTGTTCTCCCCTCCCATCTTTCCCACTACGGTCCCAGTATGCTCTCCTTTTCCAAAAAGCTGTCTCCATCACTCTCGATCACAAGCTGCTTGTTCATATGTAAAAAGCAGACAAGTTGCCAAAGAGATTGAGGGATTGCTCCACGCTAAACTATGATAAAACCAGAGGTATCCATGAGGATCTGAAAGTTTAAAGGAGGGTAAAGGAATTTCTGCTCGGGAGAGTCCCTGAGGAAACTTTGGAAGTTATTTCCTGTTTGTTTATTAAAGTTGATTAGTTGTGTAATGATGATTGGAGCCTAAAACACTGACACCTTAAATTACTATAATTATTGTTTCATGAGTCTCAGCACTTCCTGATCGGTGCGTTAGCTCTGCTATCTGCACGTGTATAAACAGTTTGGCACGTTTAAAAACTTTTTTAACTTCCTTTGAATGTAAAGTCAAGGAGGAAAGAAAAAAAGTTTTCCAAAGTGCTCTTGAGCCTTAAATCCCAGATTCCCCCAAAGGGATTTTTGCCATTTCAGGTCCTGATTTGTGTTTTCTGACAGCTCTAAAAAGAAAATTCAGACAGGTACTAATTATTATAGTTTCAATCAAATTGTGGATAATGGACCGCTTTAGTGTTCATCTATGTTTCTGCAAACGGCAACCCCTCCTGGTTCTGGTGGGCATCTTTTCCCAGATTAAATTCTAAATGCATTGAATTGGAAATAAATAATTGGGAGTAATTTACACATGAGGTGTCCGTCTTTAAATAAACGTACATGTTGTGTAGCCCAAAAAAGCAAGTTGGCCAACAGAGTCAAAAAACTCTCTGGAGTTTATTTTCACTTGTCATGGATAAAGTCTGTGGCTACAGGACACATCGGCCCTGATGGTGACCTAATTCGGTCAAAATGTGTTGGTCAAACACTTTTGGTTTTACATCTTGTAAAATAAAGTGAGTCTAACTTTTTTCTGTTGCCCAACTTGCTTTTTTATTAACAGACATTTTGTTTATTCCAAGAAAGACCAGAGCAGCACCTACGAGCTTTAAACTGGACTCGAATGGAGTTTGGTTACTTCCTGTGTAAAGTCCACAGAGTTCACACTTTTTACATTGGAGCTAATGGAGCTAATAGAGCTAATGGGGCTTTATCATTGAAGTATTAAATCTATTTAAATAAATGTGTTTTATGTTCTTCCAAAGAGTTTTAGCTTAAACCTCAGTCTTCACTGATCATTGACTCCCAGGTTCTTGTACGTTCTACAAAGCAAACACACTTCTAAGTTTAGATTGTTCCTAAACAAAAGCTAGGCTAGACTCCTCTGAGAAACCCAATAAAGTTCATCCTGCTTTTAACTGCCAAGTTTCACACTTCCTAGAAAAAGAAGCAACTGTTTGTGAGGAACCACCAGAGTAAAAACAGAGTTCATTTTCCAAAAGGTTGTTTTTCTTGGTGACTTCTAAATTAACAAAGCGTCTTCAAGAAACTGGCCTTCCTTCGAACCCATTTGGATTACCATGACCTGGATGATCGAGAATCTTCACCAGAGTTCATATTTGTTTATTAAAGTAACACCAAAAAGTTTTTTTAAACTTAAAGCTAGAGCTTTAACATTGATCTCACTGATTGTTGAGTTAGAAACCTGATCGGTTTCATTTTTCACACCACTCTGCAGCCCTTTACTGGCCAGATACTGCATTTAACAGTTTTGTGGAGTAAGTAGGTGTTCTAGGGGGCGCTCTTATACTTGCACTATGGCTGTTAGCAATTTTCTGTGCAGTTAGCTTTTTCAGCTTGCTGATTGCCAAAAAGCACAAGAAGAAAAATGTGTAGAAGAAAAATGTGTTTGCTTTCCTGCTAGCATCATGGCGGAGCATGGAAGTAAAAGTAAGAGTTATGTCTTTGGAGGTGAAGCAAGGAGATAAAACTGGAGTGAACATTGGCGTGGCCTACACTAGTTTGAGTAAAAAAGAAAAGGGCTGTGAAGTCACGTGCTGATGATGACCTGGCTTTGTTGCTACTGGACTTCTAAGTAATAAGATTGTTTGTCCAAAAGTGTGGATCTTCTTGATTTCTGACTTATTTAGCAAAACTTGGCTCATGTTAGTGTTAGCTCATTGTTAGCGCTAGCTACAGCAGGCTGCTGCAGGGTTGTTTATGGCAGTTGTTTCCACCTTCAACCAGTGGGGTGGAGTAGCAGGAAACACCTCTGTGTTACTTTAAAAGACTGAAAACAATAATTTTGTCCACAAAAGAACAAAAAATATATATATTTACTGAGCAGTAAACTTAAAATATAACCGAGTTGAAAAGTTGACACTTTTTTTTACCCCTTCCTCTACATACTCTGCTTTCTGTGGTTCAGCCCTCTGCTCATTCCATACTACAGCTGGGGGGGGGGGGGGGGGAATGAGGTCAAGGATTGCTTTACTCCAGCCCCCTGCACCTTCCCCTACCAGCCCCTCTCACTTAAAACCTCATACCATCACTGCGGCCAAACTCCCCCACCCCACCCCTTCTTTTCCAGCCCCATTTCTACCCTCCTCTCTCCTTCACTCCCACCCTTCCCGTGCCCTCGGCCCGGTGCTAATTGGTAAATCTGTTGAACCATGCCATCGCCAACAATGAGACACCTGGAGTTCTGTCAAAACAAGTTTCTGTGCGAAAAGGCCTCCAGTGCTCATACAGTGGCATGCATAGCTAAGGCTTTCTGCAGAATGCAACCCATCTGGTGGAATCTGCCAAAATGCAGCGCTGCCAGTAGTGGAGGAGTGGTTTGTCAGGAATGGAGATTAATCATCAATAATAGGGCAGAGGTCTGAGCACAGCTCCTTCAGAGAATCCCTAATAAAAACTAATTATGATTGACATTTTTAGAACGCTAGTCCAAATGGACCTGAGAGTCAGAGCCGACACTCGGATGAGTTGATATTGTCTTGTGCAATCATATAAACAAATAGCATTGTCTCCCTGACCTCCGTCACCCCGTCATCCGAGACTCAAGTTACACTCTAAGACAGGAGCACAGAGCTGTTGTAGACAAAGATGGGTTTGTAAGACACACACATGCAGAAAGACAGACCGGCACACCCAGCAGCCATCCTGCCAGACCTCGTCAAACAAGTTTCAGCAGAGACAGGAGGGAGGGAATGGAGGCATCAAGTTGACATGCAGAAAGAAAAAACTTCAAATCCGTTTGGCCCATCAAGCATGTTTCCGGCCCTTTTTTAAATAAAAAAGGTTATTTACAACAACTAAGACCCTACCATGTGTGCATAATGAACAAGAAATTGATTAGTCAAACAATTCAAGTAGGTCCTCCAGAAGGCCATGGTTGCCTCAGAGGAGATTAAGATTTCTCCTCTAGGCTCCGTAATGCCAGCCTATTTCTGGCTTCACAGTGCCTGACTGAGGCGAATCAAAACAAGGCTTACTGAAGTCCCCAGCATGTCAGCGCCGCAGTAAAAACAACACTAACCTTACCTTCAGGCTTTATTATTTTACAGCTTGTATTCTGGGGAAGTGTTTTTTTGTTGTTGTTGCTTTTGTTATTTTTTAAATTGTTGCAGGGAAACCGGCTTAGGAAGGGGACATTCGGTGTTACGTCTGAGTGGAATCCAGGTATCTTCACTCTAAATCCTCAACCGATGAACGTAAACACTGTTCTTACTTCCTATGAAACTGTTAACCAGTCTCTGAAAGGAGAAGGGATTAAAAGCAGCTGCACCAGAAAGCACAAACAGAACAAACAGATTTTCCACTCATGCTGCCGGACTGAAGGCTAATTTGAGCAAAAAGGACTGTTGTGTTTTTGCAGCAGTGACTCCCCCTGAAACCGGAGTGATTCATAAACTCAGACATGATCCAAATGCACAAGAAACTGGAGACAGAAGAGTTTTAAAGCCAAATAATGCTAAGCAAAAAAAAACCTTAACAGTCTATGTAAAAAAGAGATGAGATGCTGGATGTTATCCAAGAGCAAGGCAGTTAGGATAGAGCACAGAGCGATCATCATCAGGATTGTGTAGAACAAATAAACACAGATCATTCAGTAATCAGACGATAATTTGAGTGTGAATCAACTAAAAAAAGATTCAAATAAAATTCCAAGCAGATATTTTTAGAGTCAAAGGTCTCTCACCAAATGAAATTGGTGAAGGCTCAGATCTGACTGTCCGGGGAATTCCCAGCAGAAGGGCCCCTGAAAGGCAAAGATGGATGTTTCCAAGTCACACAATTATATCAGCTCTCCATCTCTCCTTTATTCTCAATCACACACACACACACACACACACACACACACACACACACACACACACACACACACACACACACACACACACACACACACACACACACACACACAGACACACAGACACACACACACACACACACACACACACACACAACACACACACACACACACACACACACACACACACACACACACACACATACACACACATACACACACACACACACACACACACACACACACACACACACACACACACACACACACACACACACACACACACACACACACAGACACACAGACACACACACACACACACACACACACACAACACACACACACACACACACACACACACACACACACACACACACACATACACACACATACACACACACACACACACACACACACACTCCAGCTGAGCAGGTTTTATGCAAAAGGACCATGTTCTCTCAGAGATGATACACACCCTGGGCTCTTTTACTTATTTAAACGACCACCTCATCTGTGCTGGCTCAGCTCTCTCCTGGGTGCTTGTTTGACCCCTTTAGAAGTGATTTCTACACAGAGAGAATGGGAGAACAGCGGCGCCCTGCTCCTAACACGGCTTCTGGACTGGCTGGATGGCTGTTAAAACGGTGTTTCGCTTTGGTAAAACATTTCATCGCCTCAGCGTGAACTCAGACGTTCGGCGGCGTTTAGCTGATTGGAAAGGGGGGTTCTGCTGTCACCACCGCATTCTGGCAAGGGATCAGGAAAAGTAAAAAAGATCTGAGACATGGTTTTTTTTTAGTAATGGTGAAGTTCAAGATGTCTAAATTTATGATGAAATACGATGGCTTTTGAGTTTCTGGAAGAGAAATCCATGAGATGTTTACCTGTTTGGTAGATTAAGTGCTGTGAAGGTATGTGGCCTTTACAGATTTCTCCTGATTTTGTTTTGTTTGTTTTCCTCCATCACACTAAAACGCTGGAGGAAAAAAGTGACCCAAAGTAACTTAATCTTAAGAGAAAAAGGGATTTGAGCTTTAAACTCAATTGGTTGGCCATTTGTCGCATTCCTCTTTGCAGACATTATTTAAATCAGCCGCAATGAAGGGTTTCTAGGCTGAGTGACCTGTTTTGAGTCAAAGGTCAGACATTCTCCTCAGGATTCTCAGGTAGAAAGCAGAATTCATGATTTTATCAGTCACAGAATGTGGTCCTGAGACAGGAAAGCAGCCCCAGACCATCACACCACCGCCACCATGCTTGACTGTTGCAATGATTTGTTTCTGATATGGGTTAACACCAGATGTAATGAGACACACACATTCCAGAAGATTCCACTGTTGTTCCTTCAGTTTACAGCACATCTCCCAGAAGTCTCGACATCATAAACCTGTTTTGTGACTAAAGTGAGACGAGTCTTGTGCTATTTTTTGGACAGCAGAAATGTCAGTCATGGCAACTCTCCCATGATGCTACTTTTGTCTCGTCTCTTGTCCTGTTAAATCATGACCTCTGACCCTTACTGCCTACATTAGGAATTCAGCATTTTAAATGTTATGAAATTCTCTAGAACAGGTCAATTTGCTTCTTGATAGCTTATAGCTGACTTCATGATGTCAGACAGGTTCTGGAGAAGTGATTTCTTAATTCTGCAGGTCTGGTAGTGATCGGGTCTGGGTGTGGCTGGTGGACTCAGCTTTACGAGCAAAGTGTTGCATCACCGTTAATTCACAATCAACGACAGGTTGGTTGTCTGGGTGACTTTTATCCTGAGTGTGTTTGCTGATCTGAAACATTTAGACGTGACAAAAACATAAGTAGTTTGGAAAGAGGCAGACACTTTTTCACTTTAAATAAACACAAGAGTACAATTGGGAGGCTTTATACAAGAAGCAAGAATTTTAGTTTCAAACTGATAGATGACAGAGGACAGGGGGGAAAGGTAAGTACTGATCTGCTTCGGAAGACAGGACAGGTTAGTGGAAGTGGAGGAACATGCAGAGGAAAGCCATGGGCCTTTTGGTTTACTGGAAGGCTCAGACACCTTAAAGCTACTGTGCACTCAGATCAGCAGGCTCTATTTGTGTTTGACCTGCGGGCCAGATCACGAAGAACCAACAGTGAACGCTGTGGTTTTGGATGAAACACACACACACACACACAGCTACAAACATCTATTGCGCTTTTAATGTGCAACAGAGCCACACATCCCCTGGGGAAGCTAAAGTTCACAAGGGTTATTTAGCAGTCAGGAACCACAACTAGGAAAAGAAAGAAAAAGCAGCAAGACTGCAACTGAACGCAGACAAAACTCCTAATATTCACCTCAATGTCTGAGCAGCAAGATGGCCCTTGAGTCATTGTTGTGGGATTGTTGCGAACACTGAGCCGATTGTTTATGGGAACAAGCCGCCATCCAGACCATCAGACAGATACAATGACTGGGGTACCCTCATGCTCGCTGTCACAGTTCCCAGGCGTGACGCCACGTCTCGACAGCCTCTGATTTTGGTTTGAGCCGATGATGTAAGCACGGCCGCTTGAACAAACATCTTGTCCGGAAGAGACAGCGGCCTGGAGTGACAGCTTCTGTCTGAGGGCCGGCTCATATTACTCTGCCTGTCTTGGGTATGTTACGGGCTTTTTTTCTCTGAAATCCACTGATGAATATTTTGCATAGAGGAAATTTTTTCCATCGGCGCAGATGAAAACTTTCTGATCGAATAGATCACAATGAGTCTGTACCATCTGTACAGACAACATGTAAGGGCATCAGTGGTTACAGTTAACCTCTTGGTCTTCTAATCGGTCTAAATACATCTAATGATCACTGCAGAACTACTTTAATAGACACTTTGTTCACCTCTTTAGCCGTCTTTTGTTTCTGATTACACTCCAGGGTGTGTTTTTGTAGTGAAACAAGTTTTGCCCCTTTAGCGGTGATACGTACAATTTGGGTTTTTTTTGGTCCGTGTTAAAATATTAAAGAAACAGTTCAGAACTGCTGAAGGAAGGTCATGCAGAAATATAATAAAACAATTATCTTGCCTGTTGTAGACAGCCCTTTGAACAGCCTCAGTTTGGAACAACAGTGTTTAGTTCTGACACCGACTGATAAGCTAACGGCTAGTTTGAGGGAGGCCAATTCTAAAGAGGGTGGCTGCCCTCACAAAATAACTGATCTCAAATGTTTCATAGCAGTTTGTGCTAAAAGCATTTTATGAATTTTATCTTCAACAAAATGTTTATAAATTTTTTGATTACAGCTAGGAATATAAAAACAGTTGTATCCTCTAGCTGTAGCACTTCCTGTGCAACCAAAGTCACTTCCCGCGTTACTGCAGGAACAACTTCATCAAAATGTATGGCAATGTCAAGTTTTATAAAATAGTGCTTAAATGAACCGCTATGAAACTTTTGTGACAGGGGATTTAAATTGAAAGCAATCCAACTTGGTCGTATCCCTCCTAGCTGTTACCGTTTCAGTCTGGTCAGAAATAAACTCAGTTTTTCCAAACTCAGTTTAATCAGCTGTGTACAACAGGTTAGATAATAAAAGTACAGAACTTTTCCAAGGACAACCCATTAAAATATCTAAACAGTTCTTTTTTGGTTTGTTGTAGCCAAACAAGCTTCCATTTTTAGGTGCTAAATAGTCAACAGAGGCTAAAACGAAGCTCTTTTTCTCACTGTTGGGGACATACGTGCATCACGATGTTTAATACCAGCAAGATTAAACTATTATACAACTCAAAGTTGAGCAGATAACGTTCGACTGTGTGGAATGGTACAGTCCTTATTTTGAGCCTGAAATTGCAGCTGAGGATGCAGAGATGCATGCACTAAAAAAGACAAAAAAGTAACCGGGGGGATTATTTACTAAATGGCTTAAAAAGTAACAGGAGCAAGCAGCTTATGGTCAGTAAAAGTTGGGACAGAGAAAGCCTCCGAGGTAATGCCTACAGACTGAGTGTGGGTGGCGCCTGTTGACCAAGGGGGTCGCTCATTAACAACAGGAAGGACTCTCTGAGTCCTGCAGAATTGCCAGGACATCCCAGGTGTATGGCCCATTCAGACCAACAGGAAGTCCCCTTTAATCCAGCTACTCAACGAAGGACAGAAAAGTGGCCCCAGAAGGTGAATGTGATCCTGTTGTCCTCATTTGTTTGAAGACTGAACTAGAGTTGCATGTCTGTGACCCGCTGCAGGGATCTACAGATTCATTGTGGCACGTCCATTCTGAATTCTTAGCCAAGACGCAGCTCTGTTTTCTTTTCTCCTTCAAATCAAAACCACGTCAGCTCCTTCTGGCCCCTTTCATCAGCCTCCCTCTAGTACACATTCTTCGTTGGAACAGGTTAGTCTGAATGGGAATAAAATCAGCATGTTCAGCGGTTGTAAAGGCTCAGGTGGGAGGTCTTCCCTGCTGCAAAAACTGACAAATTCCATCACTTCCTTCATTCTTATTACCATACACTTCCAGCAAAGGCCCTCCTTCTCTTCATCCCCTCAAAGATTGTGCTTCACTACCACACACACACACACACACACACACACACACACACACACACACACACACACACACACACACACACACACACACACACACACACACACACACACACACACACACACACACACAAGGTGCAGTTGGGAAATGGTTAACACTACAGCCATCCCCTGCTGCCAGTGAAAGCTCACAATACAATGGAGACATTGTTCAGCTGGAGCTAGACTCTAGACTCGAAGGTTGGTTTTGTGTTCGAGTGTGTGCGTGTGTGTGCGTGTGTGTGCGTGTGTGCGTGTGTGTGTGTGTGTGTGTGTGTGTGTGCGTGTGTGCGTGTGTGTGTGTGTGTGTGTGTGTGTGTGTGTGTGTGTGTGTGTGTGTGTGTGTGTGTGTGTGTGTGTGTGCACTCAGATGTCAGGAAGAAGTGCTCTCAACACAAACAATTTTTTCCCCCTAAATCCACGAACAGCAAATGCGATCTGATAAGAGTTACTTGTGTTTAACTTGTGTTTAACGTATTTAACGTATTTAAGAACAAGAAACATTTGATGGCAGGATCGTGAGGATACTCAGTACAATGCCTCTCAGCCAAATGAAGTCATGACTTTCCTAATATGTGCCTGGACTCCTGCTGAGTCCTTTACTTTATTAATGTTGATGATATCAACACACACACACACACACACACGCTAAGCTGTGGATTTACAAAACACCCTGATTTGGCACGTTGTCTTCCCTACTTAATGTCATAACCAATGCCTAATGCAAAGAAATATATTAAAAAACACACACATCCCCCTCGCTGAGTTCATCAGCCTGCTTTATGCCTGCAAAGCATAAATGCTGAGTTAGCAAAGTAAGGATTGTTCTCTTAGGAGCTTAAATAGTTTCTTGGAGCCTCATCCTCACAAACTACACATCAATAGGTGGATGAAATATTGAATAACTTTCAGCCAATGGGGTAAAAGTTCAACAGCAGTGTTTCCAGGCTGCCCGCAGGGTGGTCAGACACTTCAAAAAGGTTTAGCCTGGCCTCCTTTGAGGGCACCGTAAACAGGGGGCAGACACCATGCCCTTGGAGAGAATGGCCTGCGTGAGGTCACTTCCTCTTTTTCGGGAACTTAACTCCATACCGAAATTAAACCGTCCCTCATCCTGGAGTGGAGAAACCACCAGCAGGCTTGTGAGTGAGTGTGCTTCTATCTGTGGCTGTCTGCTGTTGTTTCAACTGTCTCTGGGTCACGAAGGACTCACGTCTCTTATCTGGCAGGCCATTCAACGACTCCTTATCGCTACCAGCGCAGCCAGTTAGCGCTCCAGGCAGCCAGCGGTCAAGGTGTCTGACTGTTTCTTTGCAATATAAACATTGAAAAACCTCATTCACAACCAAATGTATTGATAATCTATCAAAGCCAGCATGTTACCAACAAACACTAAGATTGGACAGACTGAGTGACACCTGCAGAAGTCTGTGAGGTTGCTCTTTGTGATTCACTGAGCTGTAAGCGCTAATCTCTGCTTTCTATACGTATGACAGCTGGTATGATGCAAACCAGGGAAACATCCAGTCCCACTTCCCTCCTCAGTCAGAGGTGGAGGCAGCAGCAACAATACAAGCAGTGCTTCGCCTCCAATTTCATCACTTGTACTAAGAGCCTATCCAGTGCCTGTGATCTTTCTAGTGTGTGTATCACACACATCGCACAGAGCCGGGCAATAAGACCATCTTTATTACAATATTTGCTGTCATGTTGGTCAGTGACATCACTGGATCCGCTAAACGGTGCGCAGGCTGCTGCTTAAAATGAATAGAGGAGGAGAAATGTTTGAAATCTACATTTTTTTTCTCCTGTTTATTTAACTTCTTGTCCCATTTCATAAACATAATCACATATCGTTTTTTGCTAAATCAACATGCCTTTCGGATTTTTAGGATTTATTTTAGGTGGGTTTATTTGATCCACAGCCAGTTTGTGTTTTGTAAAGAATAGGCGGGGTGGCCTTCTAGTGTTGCATGCTTGACTGACTGTCTGGAGTTGCAGGGCAACTTTCTTTCTGTAGGGGCATTAAAACTGATTATTATACTAAAATTCAATTTTACTATTTGGCTTTAAATTATACATCCTTTATTGCATAAAGGTATAAAAAATGCCTCTGTGCAAGCTTATTAAAACTTTTTTTAAAACAAACTCACAAAACTTTCCCAAACTTTCTTCCCACACTAAAGTGGATTCAAGCGGAGTTGATGCGTTCATGCTATGGGGAGTTTTTGCGGCCGTATGACTCACAGCAGGTATTTACCTGCAGCTTTTGCAGCCTACGACCAGTTTAATGATTTTGTGTGTGTGTGTGTGTGTGTGTGTGTGTGTGTGTGTGTGTGTGTGTGTGTGTGTGTGCGCGCGCGCGCATTGGGACTCTTTTTCTCAGCATCTCCTGACATAAAAAAAGAATTGTTCAGTGTAAAAAATAGGATCGCAGGTGAAGATAAGGAGGGCTTCAGCTTGGCTCGTTTTGATCCGAATAATTCTGTCATTGCCAGGTTTTTTTCTCCTTTTTCTTCAGCCTCAGCTAGGTTTTTGTTTTAAATCAGCATGTATTATTCCTACCTAAATAAGGAAAAACACCAAGGAGGCTGTCCAACGTTTGGATAACTGTTTCCGATGAGATTTATTACAGGTTGTAAAAGTGATAGCACCGATCAAATGCCAGCCGTGACTCAGAGGGACACCGTGTCTTGACAGAGTAATTTAGGCGATTAAACAAAAAAGGCATCATCTTTTGGGTTTGGTCCAGAACCAGAAAGGCAAATGAGCTGGTCTACTTCACAGAAACCACAGACAAAAAGGGGACCGAGAGGTCACTTGTGTACCACCTTTGAAGGCTTCTGTTCCCATTTTCACTACTGACCCACAACTCCAAAACAAAAACTAAGTCTCGGGGCGCTGATGGCCACTGCATTCACACAGCTCCATCCACATCGATTTCTCAGCTCGCTAACCATGTGACCACATTCCTCCTTAAGTTAAATCTCTCCACTGACCTCTTGTAAACTTTCAGCCTCTAACTGCTTAGTTTCACATTCAGCTGTTGATTTTAGAGCTGGCAGATATTGACATGCCTGAGGTGTATGCTCTGTTATCAGTGTGTGTGTGTGTGTGTGTGTGTGTGTGTGTGCGTGCGTGCGTGCGTGCGTGCGTGTGTGTGTGTGTGTGTGTGTGTGCGCGCACGCGTGCGTGTGTGTCGAACCCTCTTATGGCTGTCAAACCGACTCTCCTGCCAGAAGACTCCTCCAACGCCACGGACAATGTGATCAATGTTGAAGAAACGCCCACTCTTCCTTCCCTCACAGACATGTTTGCAGCACACTGTTAGTTTATTCCCATAAAAAAGTTCAATTATCCATAATAATAATAATCCAGCTCAATGAAAGTGTGGTCTAGGAGTTATCACCTAGGATTATCCAAACAATACCACAGCGGCTGTTCTACCAGAACCAGTCAATCCACAGCGTTGAGAGTCAAAACCCTAACCGTAACCGTAACCCACCACAAGATCACTGACGTCATAAAATGTGACCGGGTGTGTTAGTGGTTGTGATTTCAGCTAAACAAATCTGGTTGTCTAGTCAAAACAGATGAGTGGGGTGGGGGTGGGGGTGGGGGGGTTGTTTACTGGGTTTTGTTCAGTCACGAACAGAATCAGTGGGAAGGGGGAAGGGGGGAGCTGGTGAAAGAGGGAAAAGTACCGAGTACTTACAACGATGTGTGCCGGTGATGGGGACCTGGCATCTTTAAGTGCTTGTCTACTTTGGAGACCTCCTGGTTGAACATCTAGAAGGGGCCATTTCATCTGTAGGTACTGAATGGCAGAAAGGAAACAGAATGGAAAGAAAGAAACAAAACATGTTAACAATGCAAAAAAAGTAAAAAACAAGAAATCAAAAGTAAAGACAAAAACGGGGGGGGGGGGGGGGGGACCTCTTGATATGTGCATGGGTATGGAAACTCAAAAACATGGAGACGCAATGATGGTAGAAGGGATAGGGATGGCCTCAAGCATGCATCCGAGTCTACAGTAAAAATCAGATTTGTAACAAACAGGTGAGTAAGAGCTGGAACCCAGAGTTCACGGCCTTACGATGACCTCATGTCATCGATGTGACCGCTTTTATTGGAAGCCATAAAACGAGGCGAAGCGTGGTGCCACTCCACGCTCCTGTGTGGCCAAACCTCCTGACTGTTCACATAAATGATTGACTTGGCCTCTATCAGAAGCCAGTATGTCTGCGGTTCCCCTGCCCTCTTTCTCTCACGCACCCACACAAAGACACAAGAGAAAACAGATAAGCAGAAACAAGGTGCATGAGAAACATCTGCCTGTCATAAAAGGGTACAGTCCAACTGAGGGCATCTAATAATAAGAGTCATAATAAGAGTGGTTGATCTGTCGATCTTCTGTCACTTAATACCTTCTGCTGCAGCTGAATCCATTGATTTTTCAACCATTGGATATCTGGTGTTGACTTTGCGACAATATGAGAGCCAAATTCTGCTTATCGGGGTCACAGCCACCTAGTTTGGGGTGTGGAGGTCATGGCGGCCGAGTGACTGTGTGGAGGAATTCAAAACTGTTGGGCAGCAGCTGCTGTGTGTGTATAAAAAGCTACATTATTAGCTTTCTCAACAGCAGCCTTTCTTCTAAAAAGGAGAATTTATACATCAAATGAAAAGTCTTTAAAGATGACATCAATTAGAAAATACGCACATTTTCCAAATCAATGCGATGGCGATAAAGCCGGTTTGTCTGGAGGAACAAAATGAACTGAAGCGATCACTGGTGTTGGATAATTAATGAAGGAGGTTAGATGGACCGTGCTGTGACCCCCAGTGTTACTGATACTCATTAAAAACTGGTGAGATGTCTCAGCTAAATAGCTCTGAGGAGAGTGTGAACTCAGAGCCGCATCTGAAATGCCAGTCGGACGTAAACCTTTCACGGGATCAAAAAAATACAAACCTGAAATGGTTTTCTCTTCTCTTTATCTGAACACCTTGAGTGACGTAAACCATCTCCCCCCAAAAAGGACTTTAGTAGTTTTGTATTACTTCATAATCACATCATAATTATTAAAACAGAAAGTTTAAAGCATGATAAATAACTCATTCCTCCAACAATTGATAAAGTGCAGAAACAGGGTATATACAGCAATCCTTAAGTAAAATTTACTACTTTTTAATACTTTTTTTACTACCTTCAGAATTTTTTTAAAACCATCACAACACTAAATTGCATGTGTTAATCAGCGACCTATTTACACATATTTTAACATATATAACATACAAAAAGAATAGACTTAGAGACTCACTGATGTTGACAACGTATTGCACATATTTATTTTACAATAAGCCAGGCACTTCTTTTCAGCGGTTCAGACAGTTGACCACGAGGCCTGAAATGATGCAGAACGACCACTGAATATGACGTCATCATTATGTGACCGGATATGCTTAAGTAGGGCTGCTCGATTGTGGCAAAAACAATAATCACGATTATTGTGACTGAAATTGAGATCTCGATTATTTAATACGATTTTTCAATTTATGTAGATTTTTATTTTTTTATTTTTATTCAGTCATAAAACTGCTCAGGGCACAATCAGGGCAAAAATAAACAAGAAACAAGATGATCACTAAAATAACTCCTGATTCCCAGTATAAAAAGACCGATATACTTATAGCTCATAGTTTATGACCCAAGGGATAGACCTTGGTTTAACTCATGTAAGTCTAACCAGTACAGACCCAAATACCAATATCTTGCAAATACTGACAGCAAGAATTATACAGTGGCATTTATAACAAATACATGCAAATTGATGTTCACTAAATTTTGCATAACATTTATTGAGTCGTGTCAAGGTGCTGTAGGAGCGTGCACTAGCACCGTGTCCTCAGAGAGATTAGTTATTTATCAGCGTGAGGAACTTATTTCTACCTTATTTATAAACTATTTATTTACAAGTCCATCAGTTAATGTAATAATTGTCCCAACCACAGCTGCACCCCCCACCCCCCAACCCGGTCTCACAACAATCGGGGGCAAGCTGCACATGTGTTTAACGCGCCGCACGCGCACATTTAGCCGTTTTCATCGGCTCAGGAGTCCGCAGGTACGGTGTGTGTGTCACTCACTCTGGTTACTCCAACAAGGAGCCGGCTCTGAGAGCTGTGTCTGTAGCGACTGACACATCACTACATCATTCCCTTTCCTAATGTCCTGAAGAACGGTCCGGAGTGTTTAGCTAACTTGCAGGAAATGTCGACGACAGTTATCCAGAAAGTAGCTAAGGGTTACCAGAGATGTTTCTGAGGTGTTCGCTAGGTAGTTGGTACTTTTAAGATTTAAAAAGTCAAGAAAGGGGTCTGAGAAGCTGCTAGAAATAGCGTCAAAGTCGCCAAGTTGGCAACACTGTGGAGGAGCGCTTCATTTGCAACTCAGGGCAGCGCAAGTGGGAGGAGCAAATAATCGGCTCGTTTTATTTTTATAATTGTTCAAAACATTTCATTCGGAATATATTTCTATGTCGATGTTGAGAATACGACATCTGATAGTCTGAAAAAATAATACCTAATTTGGAAAAAATAATACCTCTGAGACCAAATTTAACACTTTTAATGGCCTTAAATTTGACTATTTTTATTTATCACTTTTTAATACTTTTTAAAACCCCGCGGACACCCTGAGAAAGCTTAATGATCTGACTTAAGTCTGTTAGATTCAATGTCCCCGTGTTGTCATCTTGCAAAGGTGGCCACTAGTTTGTATGCATGTCTGACAGAATCTCTGTGTGTATTTGAGTGTGTGTGTGTGTTTGCATCAGTGCCGGTTGGAGAGCGAGTGTGTCGCGACCCTTCCTGAGACTGTGTCTAAATCAGTGGTAATTAGCGAAGAGTTCACTGTGGGGTGCCTGCCGGTGGTAGACGCTGGAGGGAGTTATTGACTGTGTCCTCAGTTACAGCCCATGTAAGAGAAAAAACTGCCTAATGTTGAGTCCTTTTTCCACCAGGAACACTCATTCATGACCCAGTGATGACATATACCATTAAAAAGCTGGGTTTGTTTACGTTTGCCTGAATGCCGGCGTGACTAAAAACAGGGGAGGTTGTAAAAACTCCAGAGTGGGGATCCTGCAGGTTTTTATGGGCGTCCTTCACCCACACTTGTTACTAATTACCACAAATATTAAGAGTAGGGCTGAGCTAAAGTAGGGACAGGGTGGCGTTTCCTATGAGAGATGTCAAGACAGCGTCCATCGGTGAACTAACGGAGAGATGAATTGTGAAAAATTGTGCCGTCACATGCTCACACATGCACACATTAAAACACAGCTGCAGCCGGCGGAGGCGGGGGGGTCAAACAAGCGGACATTCTAAGGAGGTGGGGAAGAAGAGTGAAGGTGACACCAACAACGAGCTAGAGGGAGGGTGTTGGAGCACAAGCCCTGACAAGTGGCTCCACTTCAGCCCTGCTATTGCAAATGTTCTCACAGGCTAATCGCTCCTGCAGATTTTTATAAGCATGTGGAGGAAGACGAGGCCTTGGCGAGCACCGAGTTCTCCGATCACCAACCAACCCCCCCCCCCAAACTTTATTGGTCTCCTGGCCTCTGTCCCCACCCACCCGTCTGGCCTGCTAACGGACGCGCTGCCTGGGTTTGAGTAGGCTGTGACCTCTGACCCCTTTCTGCTGCTCCAAGCCCCTCCTCGTTCCCCACTCTGCGACCTGAAAACTCTCCCGCTATGAGGGGGCCCCCCGTGTAACTCAAGAGCCATTCCAATGTGACAAATTGCTCCGGAGTTCCAGGATAACTCTCGCTCGCTCTCTCTCCCTCCCTCCTCCTTCGTCTCACCCACACAAACACTAACCAGCCCCCAACTGACAGACCCCCCCTTCCTCCTCCCTCAACAAGAGCCACCCAGTAGTTGTGCTCTCCCTCTGCAGCTTCTTCCTTCTCGCCTCTCCTTTTCAGCCTCCCAAAGTTGTTCTTTTCCCCTGCCCTGCACCCCTCCTCGCCTGACCAGCCCCACAATGGGAGCTGAATGACTCAATTGTCTCTGATGTAGTGAAAGACAACAGAGTCCTCCAAATCCTTACATAGGGATGAACTCACCCTCCCTGTCCTAATTTCCCGGTCATCGGCTGCTTTCCCAAGTGTATGGAGGGAACTGGCGATAACGGGCCAATTTCTTCATTGATTATTTGAGTTTAGTCTAAAAGAAATGTCCAAAATCACCATCTGGGATGAGTCTGAAGCAAAGATGAACTGAAACCTTGATTTTTGAGGGTTAGATCTCTTTTAATTGACTTATTTTATTTGTGTTGTAGTGCTGACTAGGTGCTTTCATTTGGCATGCTGAACCACTCACCCATACGCAACAGCCTTCTGTTATACTACAGCTTGGCATGGTGTGAGCTACAGTGTGTTAACCCAGATTCACACCGACTGTCACCACAGTGAAAACAAGCTGGGGCCCTGGTCTGGGCATCACGGCAGAGAGAAAGCAGGACAGGGATGCACGAAGGGGCACCATCTTCACATATCCTCATACCAACTTTCATTACCGATAGGATTAGCTTAGTAGGCTGGCACCGATGCAACTGGACCCAAGATCCACAAAAGACAGAGGTCCTTCTCATGAAGGATTGTTTGTGTCCGTTTCTTGTCAACAACTTTATTTCTTCCTCAACAAGACCACCCCCTCAATCTGACGCGTTTATGACATGCTGCCTGGCAGCCACAGCAGCAGCCACCATGCAGCTTGTTCGTTTTGTTTTGGATTAAGAGCACAGGGCTCGAG